AGGCTTAAYGCTTATTGAATTAAGTGAAACAATCTGAGATTCTTCCACATGTCAAAGGGAAAAGTTTAACAAGTTTAAATTCAAGTTGTTCTGCATTATGAAACTTAACAACTGCCAATATAAATGGGTATAAATAGTCCTTTCWCCCTCCAGTTGATACAAAAGACTTYCCTCACTTTCTATGAATKTCTCTATGTAGACAGAAGCTTCCTCTGAACCAATTTKTTTTTGGCCTCTGACTGAAAAATGTGAAGAGATGTTCCAAGGTAAATACTTGGAATTGCTATGAAGCTGTGACATGTCATACCTAAAAAACAGTGGTAGCTAAAACTCTTAATTGATTGCTTTCCATTTCTGAAATACACAGAAAGACATTTTTGACATTATTCCATTCAGGTCATCAAATTCATACAAGCTRTTGTACTACAATGTAAGACATAAATTTAAAAAGAATGAAAAGTGCAGGAAGTTTGARTGATGCATGACCATGAATTTACTCATCTTTTATATAATGCCTTCTGGAGGTGCTGGCATTTTCAGTACATTAATTGCTCATAATGAATACTCTTGCATAAAACATTCAAAGGAAATTTTTTGAGGCCCAAGAATGACTAAAAAGTTATTCACTAAAGAGCAGTCAATAATCTGTATCCAAAAGAACACTCGTGGGATGTGAAATAAACTGATGTAACAGTTAGAGCAGTTTGCATACATGCAAAGAATCTGTCCTTTTTACAGGTTTGATGCCCTAAAACAGAATTGGTAYGGACTGGTGCAGAGGCAAAATCATTTTGTTCTAATCATGTTTCATTGAAGGAGAGGAAAAAAACAGCTTTGGGCAAAACATCCATATCTCTTGTGGCAGAGATCCAGRAGGCAGTCGCCTCTGCTGCAGGAAATATATGATCACTTTTGTGTATTCTTCAGGGTGGAGAATAATAGTCAGTGAAAATATGTTTAAAGAATATACTGRAAAATCAGGAAAATAAATTAATTGATCTCTCAGGCTYCTTCCAGGCAGTAGATTTTAAACAACTTGTCAAATATTTCTTGGCTGTTCTACCCTCGCATAAGAGCTTTCCCTGATTCATAAAAGAAAACTAATGTGAAATCAATAACCGTATTTAAAAATTCACCAAACATTTCCATCCAGTGAAAGTCTCACTTTCAGAGTGCCACTAATGCAACAGGCAGAGTGGGGAATACACAGCCTTGACCTGAGTGGTAAGCAAAAGGCAGTGCAGATGGAAAGTGCAGTGAAGAGATGCTTTCAGCAGCAACCAGGAGGATCTGCTTCCTAAGGACAAACCTCTGAGAGAGCACTGTGAGCATCAGCTTGCCAAAGTCCTGCTTCAAGATGCACTTGAGATGCTACTCAGGCTTCCTGCTGGAGGACACAAATTAGCCTGAACAGCAACCAAAGGAAAAAAAAAATCACATAAGGGTGAAAAACACAACAAAGTAAAATATGCTTCCTATAACATAATACAACCCTATGAGCTGCCAGACTTCAGACAACGTAGAGGAAATGTTTGCTACTTTGGGTTGCCTTATTCTACTCTTGCAGAAAACCTGGGATCAYTGTGGAAATGGGAAGAAACAAGCCATCCATTAGATTTGTTTGTTAGTTTACATTTTTARTAGAAGCACAAAGAGGAGTGATAGAGTCCATGACCTTGTGGCTCTATCTGCATTTAGGCGATTTCTCTGGTGAAGGAGTTAAATTGTAGTTACCATTTCTGTGAATTAATACAAGTGTAGTTATCCACATTTGGTATGTGAAAATAAACAGGATTTGTCAGTATCCCCTCTTCTCCCCCTTGCTGTCTGAGTGATGCAGAGCTGTTTGCCATCCTCCTGTGCAGGGCTGCTCAGCAAGGGCAGGAGGTGGAGTGCAAGCCTGCAGAGCCCAGGGCAGTGCTCTCTCCTGATTTCCTGAGCTGCTGCATCCACGAGTGCTTCAGTCTGCTCAGTATTGTCATCTGCAGGCACCCCTGCCCACGCTCTCTCCGTGGCATTCACACACATTTTAGTATGTATTGCTTTATTACTCATGGTGATATCTAGTTTGGGGGCTTCATATGTCTCACACTTGCCCAAGCTTTTTTTATCTGACAGACTTAAAAATTTGTTTTACTTTTTAGGTTTGAATTCAGATTCACATGGAAGCACTTGACTCCTAAAGCTGCAGCTTCAACCAGCAGATAGGAGATGCATGACAAAATTGGCAGAATTGCACTGCTCTAAGCACTTTTGGAGACATATGCTGCTTTTCCCACTCCTGGAAGTAGTCCCACAGATGTCTCATGATTATTCACTTGAGTCATGGCTGCAGAGTTGACTTTTTGGTGGTTTGGTTTTTTTGTTTGGTTTTTTTAATAGAAGAGGAAAACAAATTCTGTTCATAACAGGCCTTTGCAGAGTCATGGTCTTACATATACCCTGCTAATGGAGATTTAAAGATTCATGGGATCATGGAGATGGTTTGAAAATGATAAAAACTTCTCAGCACTTCCTCTAAATTTTCCACAAAGTTTCTGGAATATTTGAATCAACTGACTCTAAGTTGGTTCAGTTTTCAGGCAAGGAAAGTTATTTTCTTTTTCCTCACTGGTAGCATTTTTACAAGAAGTGAGGACRAGATTAGGCAGATGGAAGGAAAAAAAGTGTGATGGAATWGTAACATCAAAATCTTTAAAACTGCATTATTGGGTTGAAAAAATGAAGGCATTAGTTGTGTAGCTTCTGCGTMTAAGTTTCAGAATGTTTTAAAAATGCCATTTGAGTTTTTAAAAGTGCTGCGTTTATTCAGAGGCTGCTGAGAATGAAAAGTATTGATAAGCTCTACTAAGCGTTTTCATATGGAATCTATTTTCAGCCACATACCAGAAAATGTCTTTGTTATTTTTTTGAATGAGACCCTAATCTCAGAATGACTTTTCATTTATCAGAGCCTTTTAAGTCTGCTATTGTGTTTCCAGTCAGATCCTTTCCACTCACTTCTTTTTTCCTGTGTCAGCCTCTTACAAACTTGCCACAGGGCAAAGTTCGCAGTTATTTTCCACAGGCACAAGGATTTCCCCTCTCAGGGGTGCACTTGGGCTTTATGCAGTGGCAGCCAAGCACAAATTAATGCCAGCTCCAAGAGTTTGTGATAAAGTTTCTTGTGGTATATCATGCTTAATAGCACACCCTACAATTTGTGATTTCACTTGTTAACAATTCAAAGGCTTTTGTTCCTTATGCTGTTTAGTCAGATGAGATGGCTTAGTGGTTTTTTGCATCACCAGCATTGGCATTTGTGTCCTTGTTGGTGTTCTTGTTTAGTGTTGTGTTGGTTCCCACTTCAGCTATAATTTAATAATGTTCAAGTAATGCTTTCTAGAAAAAAAAAAAGTAAGTTCTGGCATCTGCAGTTGAGAAGTTGCAAAACTTGAGTGCAGTATGCCAAAAAATCCTCCAAAGATATATAATTGACTCCTCTTAAAATTTAATGATTTTTCTGGGGTGTTTTTCTTTTTTTTGAGGGGTTGGGGATTAACAATATTGTAGCACTTAAATTCCTTGAAATATATTTGTTTTAACCTTTTCCGAGGAGTTCAAGTTTGTTTCTGTGTATTTTATAGGCAAGAAACAGCTGTAATTCTCTCTGGGGGTTAGAAAAGGCACAAAACCTGTTTGTTCTCTCCTAATTCACTGTTGCAGATTTTCTGACTCCAGGTATGGAGGAGGATTTGTGTTCCTAGCCCTGATGGAGACTCCCAGCTACCCATGGCTCTGCAGTGAGGCTGTGCCAGCTGTCAGCCTGGCTGCCCTCTGGTGAGGGCTTTAGACACAGAAGCTACACAACTAATGCCTTCATTTTTTCAACCCAATMATGCAGTTTTAAAGATTTTGATGTTACTATTCCATCACACTTTTTTTCCTTCCATCTRCCTAATCTTGTCCTTGTAGAGTGTGGAAAGGGGAGCAGCTTTGCAGTACTGATGTAAATGTAAAGAGTGAGAAATGTGCTGGTGTTATTACCAGTCATCCTCTGGAGAGCCCTGAGCATCTCCCTGGACAGGGATCCACTTTCTGCCCTTACCCTGCATAACCTCATTGGCTTCAAAACAAGGTTTAATGTCATTAAAGCAAATTGGCATTAAGGCAAGGGATTTTGTCCAGCAATTCAGGGTGTTTTTAATTGTTTTCCTAAGCACAGGGCATCAGAAGGGTCATTGAGAAATTTGCCCATACCAACTTTTCTTCCCTGCTGTCTCAGGTCCAGCGTGTATCACCAACCTTTTCATATGCTGCTTTGCATTCTTCTAAGTGGTAAACACCCTCTGAAACATCCCAGCATCCTTCAGGATATTTTATACTCCCTTTGCTCCATCTCATGCAAGCACAAGGATAATTGCRTGGTCTGGTTGTCAACTGGGAACTTGGTCTGCTCTCCTCATATTTACAAGGTTGGTTATAGATTAATAATTCTTTCTGATATTACTGTGAGTAAATTATAACTCAACAGTGGACAAGTGTATATGGCTAGCATTTTGTTTTTTGCATTTTCCCTTTTATGCAACATTTTTATTTTCTGCAATTTAGTGTGAGTACCTAATTCCATGATAGATTGTGTCTGGAATTCCCGAAGGAGTGATTTTGGCTATCCTGCTATTCTTGTCTTTGCTTSCACTTTAGAACTTTGAAATGTCTGCATTTCAAGAAAAGGAAGAAAATTCCCTCCAGTATGGAACTGCTTAGATTTCATTGGTAGAGTTTTAGTGTTTCAGTCAGTGCTTTGTCTCCTGGTAGGTACAGCTCCTCCATAAATGTCTCTCCAAAGTCCTGCAGGATACCTCCTAAAAGAATGTGGAGTCACTATGACTTACAAATCGTTTTAAGTGATTTGTTTATTGGGTAGCCTGGGCTTAGTTCATTCTCCTTGACAAAATGCAAGCAGTTGCTTTGCATCATTGCTCATAAGCTACAGTTAGAATCTCCTTTTGTTTTTGCAGAGAAGGATCTGAACCCTGACCCCAGCAGCGCTTTGAAGTGTTCCCTGACAGACAAAGATGAAGCTGAGCTATCCAAATGTGCTGGGAGGGTCGTGACCCTGCAGTGAACAGGGGCTGATGGTTGAACGGGGCTGGAGTGGGGAGCAGGGTGACTCTGCATGGAAATGGGGCTGCTCTGGAGCCCTGCAGTCACAAACTGCAGCTGAAAGCAGAGGAGAAGCCAGGAGGCTGGGAGGGACAGTGGATCCTTTCCTGGCCTTATTGCAGAGGATCAAGAAAGGTGCTTTAACACGGAAAGGGGTTTTCTCTTTGCATAAATACACATGGATGCCCTGTGTTTCTTGAGCTAACAGAAAATGAGTTGAAGATTTCCACTGCGGTATTTTGATTCCAAGAGAGACGGTGGCCGTGATAAGCAGTAAAGAAACAAGGTGATTGTGATTCCTTCTTCCTGTGAAACCTTCACAGAAGAAAAAGTATGGAAAGGCAAAGAAGAGGTTGTGATAGAGAATATTAATTCAGATCACACAGCAGGTAAGGGTGTTCCCAAAGTTCAAGACATTGTTTTAGGAACATCTCCACAGAAAAAGGAAGTGTGGGATGCCTTGACCAAACAAAATCAATCTTCATGACGTGACACATCTGTGGACATTGAACTTCCTTGCTCTAGCATCTTTGTGACTGCACTCTCCTGTTGCATAGATGTGTTCCAGCCATAAAAGTTGAAGAGATAAACATTTCATCTTTATTGAAGTGTAAGCTGTATGAAAGATGTTGAAAAAAAAAAAAAAAAACTGGAAGGCTTTTTTTTTTCAGAGAGCCAGAATGCATGAGATAATGTCAGGTGTAAAGAAAAATCCTTGTATTTGCAGTGAGAATATTTCAAGTGAAATGTTTCCATCTGAACCCAGGAGAAAGAGGAAAGATAACAGCTGATTTCTTGTCAGAGATCAGCTGTCAGAATGAGCAGATAATACTTACTTAATGGTATCCAAAATAGAAATTCTCCAGTTCAATCTGCACAGTCCCTGTAAAAATAACAAAAACAGGAAAAAAAAGGAGTAATTAAAAATTTCAGAGGTACTCAGTGACAAAATGCAAGACGAAATAAAGCTCTGAGAGATTAACTAACACAGAATGAATTTTCTCTCATTATTTCCCTTCCACTCTTCTGCTTCTTCTTTTCATTTTTTCCCTGAAGCATATGCCAGGAATGTTTCCAGCGAATCAGTTCAGACAGGTTGAGCAGATATCCGGGGGAGCAGCCTTTGGTAAATGGTGGGATCACAGAGGTGGAACTGCAATTCCGTGGCCTGGGCTGAACATTCCCTTGTAAGCAAAAGGCTTTGCTTGTTCAGAGCCACAGATGCAGCATGGCAACAGGGATGTGGCATATTGCTGATTTAGGGGCATGTGCCAGGAATTGGGAAGTGCAGATCAAGCCTTCTGAGAGAAAATCAGACCAATTAGAATCTTGTCTCATGTTTTTAATTAACTTCAAACTCAGTCTCTTGTTTCTAGAAAAGGGGCGCCTGTGGGAATGGAGGTACTTGGATACAAAAGCATCTTCCAAACCATTTGGAATTCACTCTGTTGAGAGCGGGTTTTGACTGGGCTTTATTTTCAGCTAAATTTTAAACAAGATGCCAAGCAATACAAATGAATTGAAATTGAAAAGAAAGAGGAAGATCCTGCTGGTTTGTGATAGCTGCATATTGAGCCAGTCAGTCCAGTTACCACAGTATCTGAAGATCTCAGTCTTAAAGCATCACTTCAAAACTTCTACATAACTAACATTTCTTTTAAAGGTTGAAATCAACTTCTTAGAAGCCACCCAGAATGTGAGAACTCATTTCTAAAAAGAGTTTGCATGCTTGTAACAGGTGAAAATATATTGCAATATGCTGGGGTTTTTCTGTGGGTTTTTTTTTTTTTTAATTTATAAAATTTATTTTCCCCAGGCTTACAACTGGCACAAAACCAAATATAAAATTCACCTAATAAGCTGATAAAAAGCAGAACATCATCCATGACACTTCAATCTGCCAGTTCCTGTATTTTTCACCCACTTATGCTGTTCTCAATACATCTTTTTGCCTAGGGAAAAACACAACATTTAAAATGCACTAGGAAAGCCAAAAAAATCTCAATCCTTACCACGCTAAGGTGAAAGTTGCAAGTAAAAGGATCATCTCCCAACACATCCTTTTTTATGTTTATTTTAGTCTAATCTCCTCAGATTTTGTATCTTTTTAGAGCATCTTCATCATCATAGTGTTTGACCATTACCTCCTACAGACCAATATGGAAAGAAATACTCTGCTCTGTGGCTGGTAGGTACTCAGGAGCCAAGGGAGTCCAAGAGGAATAAACCTGGATGGCTCATGA